CCTCCCCCTTCCCCAGCATCCAATAGATGTTGTTCTGATATGTGCATTTATGTGTTGATTAGTTAATACCAATTTGATGGTGAGTACAAATGAATTGTTCCACTTTTGAAATCTTAATCCCTACTTCTCATTTACTGGTCACAAGCTTATGTTGTTTACACTCTCATTGCCTTACTTCAATTTTTTCTTATTCTTTGATCACATCAAGGCTTCTGTTCTCTTTCCATTTCCGTTTAATCTCTGCCCCTCCTGGCTGTTACCCCTAACTGACCTGGGCCTTAGTATCTATTATTTAACTTGCCATTGCTCTCATCTTCCTAGTCCCCTGATCTGCTTACAGAATCTATAGAATGAGACCACCCATCCAAACATCTGCTTTCTGGGCTGATGCACCTGGCTCAAGGTAGATGTCACTGGGGCCCATAACCTCCCCAATAAATGGGCCTGCAAGCTGAATGAAGATCTTGCCAGCTTCTCTCATTTTTCATGGCAGCAATTTAAATAATTGATCCTTCTTTTCTAACCCAACCCCTATCATCTACACTCTTATTCTCACCCATTAACATCCCTGATGTCTATTTTTTTTTTTTCTTTTTTGAGGTAGAGTCTTGCTCTGTCACATGGGCTAGAGTACCGTGGTGTTAGCCTAGGTCACGGTAACCTCAAACTCCTGGGCTCAAGCGATCCTCCTGCCTCGGCCTCCCAGAGTGCTAGGATTACAGGTGTGAGCCACAGCCCCCAGCCCCAATGTCTGTTTTGAAAATAACTATTCTGCAGAAACTGTTTCATCTCCCTGCTTCTCTACCCAAGCTTTTCCATAAAAATTATCCATATCTAGCTAAATTATTATCTTTCCCCCCTGCTCTCAATGAGTTTTTCCTTTGCTCATTTAAGCATAATCCTTGCATCTATTCTCTAGATCTCATAGCCACTGAATTTCTCAAAAAGTTTTTTCCACCAATTATTCCTCCTCTTTCTTGTGTTATAAACCTCTCCCTCTGAATGTGTTTTTCCCCCTCATAAATATATTCTGAGTCACCCTAGGCTCTGTTGATGACTCTGTGTACTTCTCTAGGTACCATTAAAACTTTCTGTTTTCCTTTCACAGCTAACCTTCTGCAAAGATAACTCCACACCATCTGTATTCCCTTCCTCATTTATTATTGGCATGGCTTATATTTCCTGCATTTCACTAGAACTGCTCCTGCCAAGGCCACCAGTGACTTGGCTGAACACAATTGGCACTGTCCTAATCATCTAGCTCTATCAACCACTCCCTGCTCCTTGAAACTCTTGACCCGTGAATTCCTTGATATCATTCAGTCTTGGTTTTCCACCTATGCCCCTGGCTCCTCCCCTTTTCTTTGTAGTCTCCTAATTCATTAAATGTTGATATTCCTCATATTTTCATATAGGTCCTCTTTTTAAATTACATACTCTCCTTGATTGATTTCCACTACTCATGTAACTTCACATAACATCTAACAATAATCCAGCCTGTATTTCTAGCCCAGAGATTGAGATTCATATATTGAACTGCCTATCAGATGTCTTACTTGGATGTCCACAGACATCCAAATGCAACATAAAATCATCTCTCCCCACAGCCCCATCCTGACTTCTGCCAATTCTGCCAAATTAGCTTCTCCTCAAGTAATTAATACCTTGAGGAATAGCCACAATTAAAAAAAATAAACCCTTGAATCTTTTTTGACTCCTTTCTTTCTGTTAGTTCTCACAGCCAGTGACAAGTTCAGGCTACTTTCCCAGTATCACTGGGTCACTTTCCAAATGGCCCAACACAAATGGGGTCACTTGTATCTCTTATATTCAAGTCTTCAATGTATCTGTAAACAATCTAAAAACCCTTTAGTTATGTGAAACCTCCTAAGCCCAGCTATTTGGCCTCTCCTCCTTCCTATATTCCTGCTATATCAAACCAGTATTTATGCAGCAACAAACTATAAATCAATGTGGACAAATAATTTTTCCTCTTTTATTTTTTTTCTATTCATGACTTTATTTTTCTACTGGCTTGTACATTTTTTATTGATTCATAAAAGCTCTTTACATATTAAGGATATTAATTCTTTATCTGTCATATATGTTATATATGTAGCAATTATGGCTGCAACAAAAATTAATATATGGGTTTTGATTAAACTAAAAAGCTTCTGCACAACTAGAGAAACAGTCAACAGAGCATATAGACAATCTACAGAATGGGAGGAAATATTTGCAAGCTACACATCAGATAAAGGGCTAACATCCAGAATTTACAAAGAACTCAAGCAAATCAACAAGAAAAAAACAAACAACCCTATTATAAAGTGGGCAAAAGACATGAACAGAAGTTTTTCAAAAGAAGAAAGACAAGTCGCCAATAAACATATGAAAAAATGCTCAACATCGTTAATCATCAGGGGAATGCAAATTAAAACCACAATGAGCTATCACCTTACTCCTCTTAGAATGGCTTTTATTAAAAAGTCCAAAAACAATAGATGCTGGCATGGATGCAGAGAGAAAGGAATGCTTCTACACTGTAGCTGGGACTGCAAATTAGAACAGCCCTTATGGAAAATAGTATGGAGATTCCTAAAAGTACTAAAAGTAGAGCTACCATTTAATCCAGCAATCCCACTATTGGGTATCTACCCAAAGGAAAAGAAGACTTTGCATGCAAAAGACACATGTGCTGGAATATTTATTGTAGCACAATTCACAGTTGCAAAGAGTGGAATCAACCCAAGAGCACTCTTTTGTTTTTAGTGTTTATTTTGCTTCTCCTTTTACTTTAAATTTCCTACATTCCTGCTCTTCTCAACTCTTCCTCAATTATGTGATCATTTCTACAAATATTTTTATATAAGTATATAGCTTCAATTTTAATTGAGGCCACCTTTAGTTTAACGTGTAATAATTAAAGAAAAGGAGAACTTTACACTTTAATATTAAAGTATAGGTAAGGAACAAGGCTCCGCAGATAATTTGCCAAGAGTGGTTTAGGAAGAACCCTTAGCTCTTGGCAAAACAGGGTTTGGGATTGAAATTGGGGTTTGTTAGCTATTCTTTGCTATTTACCTAAATCTATCAGATGTCTCTCTGATAGTCTAAATTATTTTTAAAAATTTACTCTAATCCCCATAAAATATATATCATATTACTATATTCTCATAAAATCTTTTCATCGAAGTTGATCAAACATCATGATTCCCATTTTATAGATGAGTATAAAGGAATTTTGTCTAACTATGGTGAGTGATAAAACTGAGGCAAACACTGAGAGCCACTGCTTTTATAAACTAGTACTTGAGTATACTCTCTCCACAGTGTCTCCCAGGCTGCAGAGACTAAAGACCTAGAGGATAAATGTCCCATAGTGAAGGAAGTGTGAGTGACCCACTACGGAGGTAGAATGGTATGTATGTACATGTATGTATGTACATGTACATATGTACAAGACTTTGTGTCTTATGCAGACAGCCCACATGTTTTCCCAAAACATGTTTTCCCCAAACACGTTTTCCAACAATTAGCCTTCTTCTCCAAGTATTGTTTCTCTCCATAGGGAGATTTTTTTTCTTTCCAGACTCTACAAATCAGAAGGAGGCACCTCTTTCACAGTTCCTTAATCCTCCTGAGGGAGCAGGTTCAACACCAGGGCTCAGGAAGTTCAGGAACACTCTGGAGACAACCTCAGGCGTTCTCCTGCCATAGGTGCTATTGTCATTCAGGCAGAGGAGTGGGGATTCCTGAAGGTAGAAATTCTTCGCCGCTCAAAAACCCTCCCGCTTAAAGCTGGAACACATTCACCTTCCTCCAAATCAAGGCTACCTTCAGCTAGTTTCCAGAAAAATCTCACCTGTTTGTTCTGTCCTTGGTTTCTCCCAGTGAGAGAGGAGCACCTCACACTAAACCCTCCCCATCTGTCCTCCAAACACTGAAACACACACACACACACACACACACACACACACACACACCCCCCTCCACTCCATGCACTGTCCCATCCTCACTCCTCATCCTCTACAGAGAAGAAAATATCAGGGGCAGAAGAAAAGTATGGGCAACCAAATCAGTTAACAGAGCAGGAGACAGGAAAATTTACAAAGAGAAAGAGACGCCACTTGGTTAAAGCACCACTTGCATGGGGGAACAGTACTTACCTCATAGCCTTGTCTTCTTCTTTGCTGTGTCTGTCCCTCAGTGATCCATGAGGAGCACTGAGCAAAGGTGGCTGGGTCGATGTAGACAGTTTCTGCCACAATTGATTTATGGCCCTATAAAGTTGACAGCAATCGGAGGAGGGGAGTTCATTTTCCAACAGATCACGAAAGGGACCTTGTTCTCCCTGTGGCGTAGGGGAAAGCTCCATTTGTTAATAAAAGGAGAAGTTGGCTTTTTTCCCCTAACAGTCGTCCCCGCTCTGTGCGCCTGTTCATATCTGATTACTTTGCCTGTCACATTATATTATGCTTCTTTGTCTGCCCACGTAGCCTAAAGGGCTCAAGAGCCAGCATCTTGTCCCTCTTCTTCACTCTGCCCAATATGCACAGATATTTTAAATATACGGCTATTTGCTGAATAAATAAAGAAGGAATAGCTCTTGGTTCATCACATTTTTCCTTTCTCCATTTTTGTCCTCAAAAGTTCTCTTGGTATAACTCAGCTTTTCATTAATTCAAACAAGCCTTTCCATCAGTTATTCTCAGTAAGTGAGGCACTGTTAAAACAGAAACTGTATAATGTGGGCAGACACCTCTAGTGGATGTTCGTCATGTTCTTTGATGGCTCAGCACCTTTCAATAACTCTTGTTATATTTAAATTTACTTAAAGAACTTCTCACCTTGTGAATTCTGCCTTCCCAAAGAAGCAACTGGAAATTCTCCTTCACAGCCTCTCCTTCAGCCAAGGTTGAGGCAAGCGCCTGGGCCTGGCCATTGAGATATGCCTGCGAGTGATTTAGACCCAGAAGAAAGCGCAGAGAAAGAGGTACTATGTGGAATTCAGGATGCTGACGCCATAGCACGTTTCAGAGGCAGCAGGGACAAGCATAGTGGCATCTGTGCTCAGTATTGGGGCACAAGCTGCTAAGGGCAGTGGCAGTAGAATCCCCCACACGGTAACCTGGGTGTTGTCCCTAGACACATAGCCAGCAAACTTCACTCTCTAGCCCTCCTATAGTTTCAATGAACACTAATATGTTTTAAAAATTTCTACTTAAGCTGGTTAAAGTAGGGTTTTTTTAATTGAGATATAATTTACATACCTTTTTAAAGATTACATACCCTTTTAAAGAATACAATCCAGTGTTTTCTAGTACATTGACAAAGTTGTACAACTGTCACCACCATCTAATTCCAGAACATTTGATCACCCCCAAAAGAAATTATATACTCATTAGTTGCCACTTAGCATTTTCCTCTCCCCTTATTCCTGCAACCAGTGATTTACTTTCTATTTTCATGGATTTCCCTATTCCTAACATTTTATACAGATGGAATCGTACAATACTTGGCCATTTGTGTCTGGCTTCTTTTACTTGTCATAATGTTTTCAAAGTTCATCCATGTTGTTGCAGGTATCAGTATTTTATTCCTTTTTATTTCTGGATAATATCTATCATATGAATGTTCCACATTTTGTTTTTCCATGTATCAGTTGATATACATCTGAGTTGTTTCCACTTTGGGGCTATTATAAGAACACTGCTATGAGCATGCATGTGCATTTCACAGTCCCATATGAGGGTAGAGAGGGTTCTTTTGATGGCATCTAAGAACCATAAATAATAATGCCCATGGTAGTCCTCCATGTTTGCTTCAAAGGCTTAGTATATGGGAAAGTGCACACACACACACACACACACACACACACACACACAGAGAGAGAGAGAGAGAGAGAGAGAGAGAGAGAGAGAGAGAGAGAAAGCTTCCAGATTTCTGCATTTATGAACTCCTGGAAAGACAAATCCACCTTATATTTTGCTTCAAAATATTTTTTGACCCAAAAAGGCAGGATAGCTCAAAGTGGAGGCTTATGGTTATAGGTGGGTTTAAAGATTCTTTCATTTATAATTGGATGAAGAAATAAAACTTTGTCTAAAGGCTTGAACTGTTTTAACTTAAGGATGTCTGTTAATCAGAGACAATCCATTGGACACTTACCAAAACTCAAGTCATTTATTAAGTAAATTGATGGCCTTCAGGTGTGGTTTAAGTTTTGTCTTGTACAGCTTAGCCTGCTAATGATTTAGTATCTTATTGTTATAAAGAATATCTCCAAAAAGGGAAGGTGTACGATAAAGCATGTCTGACCTCCCTTCTCATGGCCAGCAACCCAGCTTTACAGTTTTTCTGGGGTCCCCTTGGCCAAGAGGGGTTCCATTCTTTCACCTGGGGGGCTTAAGATTTTATTTTAGTTCATATACTTTACTCTTAACTCCCCACATGCTGCGCACATCTGTGACATCATTCATGCTACAGTGGTAACTGACAACACCTAATCTATAAGCCATTTCCTAAAGTGCAGAAAATGGCTAATTTTCACCATCCCTTCTTGCTGACTAGCACCTGGAAGATATTGGGTCACATGCCAGTGTTGACCAGTGAGAAAGTAACAGAGCCACTCTGAAGCAAAGAGACAAGCATGGGACCCTATATCTGCCTGTTGTCTATTAGTAAGAAGGCACCATAAAGTTAGGTACTGGCAGAGCTCAAACAGTTATCAAAGCAAGCAGAGGGTTGGAATCAACAGATCAGAAACCAATAACGCGTATGACCCTGAACTTCCAGAGCACCATCCTCCAAGGCCAGAGGCAAAACTCTCAATGACCCTGCTGCAATGACGAGAAGCTGGGAATGTTGGTGAGACCCTGATGATATCTGCCAAGGCCAACACAACCTTATCTTTGTAGGGACATATGACAACTAATGTTATGACATTAATCGGAAAAGAAATAGATTTCCTCCTATTTCAGTGAAAGGGTTTGGGATTGTTATTCTTCATTTGGGCACACCTATGAAGAAATACAGTAAAATTATGTGATCTGGAGCACAGTGAATATGTCAAAAAGTAAGACCTCAACCTTTCCCTGAGTAGCTGGTCAGGAGTTAAAAGTGCAGGTCCATGTTGTAGGGGCTGCTCTGGGGCAGCTGCAAATGGATCTGGCTCAGTATAACGTGATTCTCCAGCTGTGGTCTGAGGAGCAACCTCTGAGGGTCCTCGAGGCCCTTTTCAGTGGGGTCGTGAGGGAAAACTATTTTCATGAAAATACTAAAAAGATATTTGGCCTTTTAACTTACTTTCTCTCATCAGCATACAGTGGAGATTTCCAGAGGCTATATGACACGTGATATTACAGAAGATTGAACACAGAAGCAGAAATTGGAATCCAGCTTTCTTCTATTAAGCCAGACTTTAAAGAGACTTGCAAAAGTGTAATATAATGCTACCCTTCCAACACTTTTTTTAAAAAAAATATAGTCAGTTTAATTAATAATAGGAGAAATATTAATAGATTAATAATAAGAAAAAAAGCTCTTGGGATCTTCAATAACTTCTTAAGAGTGTAAAGAAGTCCTGGGACCAAAATGTTTGAGGACTGCTGATAAATATATATTTTTAAAATTCTTTTTTAAAATGGGATTCCAATACATAAATAAGTGATTGACTGAAGCCGGGATGGGGAGCTCAGAACCCTGCCAAGCTGCCTTCTCCCTGGGGCTCTGCACAGCTCCATGGTATGAAAATCACAGCTTTAGTCTGACGCCAGCATTTTGCAGATGAGGAAACCTGATCCCGGAGAGACAGAGTGACTTAACCAAGTCTCCTGACCCTAGAGATTGCTTATAAGTTTGTCTCCCTCAAAGGAAAATAGCATAGAATGCCCCTACCAGTGGACTTAACGCCTGTGATGGGGAGGGGCAGGAAGCAACCGCACACTTAAGAGCTGGATACCTCTGTTCCAGCGAGAGAAATTAAGGGAGCCACAGACCCAGCTGCTCCATCGACCTTTCCCAGAGCTGCCATGGATCTTTCTAATTCTAGACTGATGATCTCCAAGTCCTTGTGGAGCTGGCTTCTTAGAAGCCAAAAGTGTCTTGTATACTTAAAAATTCCTAAGGGAGTAGATTTTAAGTGTTGTTTCCACAAAAAAATAAGCGTGTGAGGTAATAGACATATTAATTAGCTTGATTTAGCCATTCTACAATGATATATATAGAGAGAGCAACATCACATTACATACCATAACTATATAAAATTTTTATTTATTAACTAAAAAGTTAATTAATTAATTTTTTTTTTTAAAAAGCTAAAAGTGAATGCAAGGGACACAAAACAGACTGACACTTGGGAGCTCTCGGGACAGCTACGACTGCACAGAGTCTCAGTTGCTAAGCTGGAGTCTGGAAAGCTGACATATCACAGGGAACAAGGGTATAACTTAGAGAGTCTGTGAACATAAAAAGGAAAAATACATCTTTTTTTCATTAACTTTTGAATGAAATTTAGCATTTCGCTAGCCTATGAATGTAGACAGAGCACAGTAACTTTGGCAGGACACATGAGTTTGTCAAAAATGGAATCACAGAGATTTCTGTATCACATTATAAAATTATAGTAGATATCTCAAAATATTGTTCATGCTGATCATTACATAGAAATTACGGCATTGTTAGTTCCACCGTTGCATCTTTTTATTTAATTTCATAATGAAAAGGAAACCACACCACCTATGTTACTATATCAATTTTTTTAAATATTTGGATAAGTATATTTTAATATAATAGCTTTCCTTTGAAATAGTACGCATTTTACTTTATGCATTTTAAAACATTGTTTTGAGGATGGATTTCAGAGGTTTCACATGGCTACCAATGGGGTCCCTGACACTACAAATGTTCCAAACCCCTACAGGCCTCACAGGGCCTTGGCCATCAGAATTTTGCAGTCAGAACGCTTCTCCTTGAGCAACTTGTGGCAACCAGGGCCAACTTCCACCAATATATCCTTGATGGTAACATAACATATTTCTTAAATATCAAGTAAGTATTGCTTTCATCCTTCCTGAGTTGATTAGAAGAGAGCTGACAAGTTTTGATACAAGGATTCCCATGGTTGCTTTTCCATGTTTCACTAGTTTCCTAATTAGATCAGGCCCTTATCCAAAAGCCCTTTATTGTGATAAGTAGAACATTAAGCCAATTGAACAATATTGTTTATCTGTATCCTTATGCAGGTGCTGACACATAAGTGACTTCCTGGTATATAAGAAAAGAAGAAAATATAGGGAAGAAGACACAGAGAAGAAGACACATTCTTTTCAAACACACTCATTTTCAACTTGTTTTCAAGTAACACTAAAAGTAAAT